AGGCATGTTAGATACAGTAGTATGCAAGACTCAAGACCCTTGTGTGTGGGGGTTCAGTCTAGTGGGAACTCACTGTCACTATAGGAAAGAAGCTTTCTGCTGTTCTTCACTGTGTTACCTACCTAGAATGCTTATATTACACACATGCACACACGCACGCACGCATACTACCAAGGCTGTTACCTTAGCATGGCATGTAAAGACCTGAACTCAGGTCAAGGCTGAGGGCTCAGAAGTAGAAGGTGATTCAGAAGGGATGCTGAGGGTTGAAATAGATTTTTCTAATTGAATATATAAAGTTTTAGGGAAAGAGGCATTTAGGATACATTGCTTAAATTGTGTGACTCAGGCTGTTGACTATATTAAAATCCTTCTAGCTTTGGAAGGAAATACTGGCCTCTGCTGCCATGAGGAAAGAAAGGTGGACAGCTTCAGTTCTCAGTGTGTTAACTGTAGGAATCTGAATTTTTCTTCAAAATCCAGAAAACAAGCGATTCAGATTTAGACCTCAGAAGGGAGATTCTGGTAACAGAAATAATTGAAATCTCTTGGGCAGAAACTTTATTAGAAGTTTACATAAAAGTCCTTGATCACAACATGTAGGGCAGCACAATATGACAAGCCTGCAAAGGAGATTAGGTAGGAGTAAATAGTAGATCAAGAAAGCAAGAAGAGAAACAACTAAAGGTGGACTCCTCTATTCAGTGAATAGACTGCAAATGATAGGCCAGGGGGTGGAGCTCAGTGGTAGAGGATAGACTTTGCATACAGAAAGCCCTAGCCCAATCTCCAGCACCAAAAAGGGGGGGGGGGATTGCTAATGACCCCCAGTAAAAGACTGCTTATCACTTGTCTCAGGAAAATTGTGGTTTTAAAAGCTGTTACTTTCATTAAAAAATTGTACTGATTTTTTAATCACCTAAACTCAATGGCCTATGTATACACTGAGTGTCCTTTGGGTATTAAGACTTGAATCTTGATACTTGGGACAGATTACCGAGACACAGAATGTAGAGCAGGCAGGTGGTGTGGCCCCAGAGCTGCATAAGAGCAACCCCATTGGGGAGCAATCCCATTGGGAAGCGACAGCGAGGTCCAGGATCCCACCAGCACCTCCTCTCTGCCTCATCAAGTGTGGAAATAAGCCAGAATTCAGCAGCTTCCTCTAGTGACTGTAAAGGAAGCACTGTCCTTAGGAGGAACACATTCAGTAAAGGGAAGTAGGAAGACCTGTTTTCCAAGCAGTTGGAGATGAATGGGACTTGGCCCTGAAGAGGAAAGTGTTGAACTACCTTATTCCTGGGACATTTCCCTAGGAGCTAGAGAAAAGCAGAGGAGCCACAGGTGAGTTTATGGGCTGCGTAAGCGCAGACACCAGCATGTGGGATGCTGATGGAGAATGACAGAGGCATTACCTTAGCTGCTCAGGTCACACTACAGGTGCAGAAGCAGATGTGAGAAGTCAAGTGCTGGGAGCAGGGCTCGTGGCCGGGTTTGGCCCAGCTTGGTTCCCAGAGGAGAAACAGTGAAGCGAAACCTCAGGCACTGGAGAGCTGTCCTTACTGCCCGCTGTGCTGCTGGGGAATTGGAGCGGGGCTAACTTCAGAAAGCTGTTTGGACCTTGCAGGGGCAAAAGGACAGTCACCTGGAAGAACCTGTGGGCACCTGAGATCTGCTGGTAGACCAAGGACAAAGGCTGGACCACTGGGCGGACAAGGAAAGAGCAATGGGAGTCTCCTGCTTAAACAAACACTAAGCATATGGCAAGCTTCGGGAGAGACAGGGAGAGCGGTGTTGGCATGTATGACCTCCCTTACTGCTCTGTGGGTGCAGTCTGCTTCCTCTTGTGTCGTTCCATCATCCTTTCTGTGTTCGTTTTTTTGTGCCTGCCTTACTCCTTTTTTCTCTATTTTGCTGTGCTGGGGATTTCAGCCAGCATTGTTTATGTTAAGATGAATAAGCCATACTGGGTGACCTTTAACACACAGCTGGACTACACTGTGTGCATGGATGCTGTTTGTATTCGGTTTTTAAGATAGGGTTTTGCCACATAGATTCAGAATCCTCCTGCCTCTGCCTCTGCCTCCCGAGGCCTGGGATTATGGGCATAACAGCACCTCTCCCGGCTCTGTACATATATTCGGTGAGCTGTGGTTGGTCCTTTGAAAGGTTTGTGCTCAGTGATAATCAAGATGCTGGTAGCCAGAATGTGTTCAAGGATAGGTGATTTTGCTTTGTATCTGGCAAAAAGAAATTGCAAATGATAAAAAGCAGACTGGAGGCAGGATTTGCATAACTACTCGTCCGGCCCTCTCCCACAAAATGTCAAGGCTCACCCAGAGTTGTGTCTACCTTCCCAAAACTGTGACCATTTAAAATAAATTCATATAACTGAAGAATGAACTGTTCAGGCAACAGCAGCTTTGTGGTTCTGAGCCAGTTGCTTGAGGGAAAGAGTAGCATCCTGCACGTTACAGGGTGCAGGAGGAGGGACAAAATGGAGAGGAGGGGGCAGAGCGTAGGGGAGGAGCTGCTTCACCATTTCAGAGGGGTGTCCCGATCTCGAGCCTTGACTCTCGTTTGCCTGGATATATTTAATGCCAAGACACGGAACTGCGTTTCTTCAGGTGATGACTTTGAAGAATTGGGAGGCAAATCATATACAGCAGAATCTTATATTCAGTATAAATTATTGGTAGTCGTAAACAATTTTCTGGTTTTCTTAAACGTTGGAAGAACTTCAGAGTTGTTCCCCCCCCCCATTCCATGCAATACTACTTTGCTGATAGTTATTCTGAACTAATCACTGGCTCCTAAAAAAAAAAAAAAAAATACTGATGACCACTGTTACACATCTTGTTTTCCCAGAAGCCCTTGCAGCATCCAGGGTGAAAAATTAAGACCACAGATAAGGCACTTGGGCTGTTGCACAATGACACAGCACACGCTTAGCACGCGTGAAGCCCTGCGTGCATTCACTGCCCCCACCCATCCCAAAACAGGACTCACAGTGGTAAATTTACATTACGAAAATAATTTTGCATATGGATCAAAGTGTTAGAATTAAATTGTTTTGTCATCTCTCTGTTTCCATCACCATAAAAAAAAAAAAAAAAGAAGACGCTGCTGCTTTGGTGGAGTCTGTGGGCGTGAGGAAGAACACAGATACTGTTATAAATAACCACTGTGCTGCAGAAGAAAATGCTCCAGAAATTTCTCTTAGCTTACTTACCTTGCCATCTACAGTCTGGCAGTTAGCAGGTCCCCATGAGTAAAATCTGTATCTGATGGATTCTATTATAAAATTTCCTCATATCCCTTTATAACCAAATGAGCCCCACTTAACTTGTCCGGTAGCTGCGAGTACACAAGCTACCCCTTTGCAGAACTGCACCATTGAGGGTGGACCCTGAACGCTCAGCAGCTCCTCTGCAAATTGTCCAGCTGGTTCTCAGAATTAAGATCAGAATCTCAAGAGTGTCTTCAGTTGCCATATTCTGCCTTTCTGCTTTATGGTTCCTCATATTGCAAGATTGAGTTTTACTCATGCTTTTAAATGCAAAACGATCCAAAACTCACTTTTTTAATGTAAAATTTCTTTTTTTCTTTTTTTTTTTTTTTTTTACAAAAATGTATGCTTTGGAATAAAATTTGCACTCTAGGTTTCCCGGTCTGAATGCCTCTAACAACACCATACCCCATTCCCCTTGACAGCCTCTTTTTCTCCTTTCTTTGCCTCTGTTTGTATTCTGCTACTAGTAAATGTTACTATTAGTGTTGCATGGGTTATTTAGCTGGTGTTTAAAGTTAAAAGCAGTGATCTGAGATCATTATAGACTAGAGAAAATGGTGTCTGACATCTCTGACTCAGGCTGCTTCTCCTCAGTCTGTCGTCTTTGAATACACAGTAGGTGGGGCAGCGAGGCCAAAGGCTGTGACTCTGAGCTTGGGAGCATGGCTGGTTAAGAGCCCTTGATTCTTCTGTGTGGATAATTACCCGGACTGTTCCATCCGCCTTGCACACACTCGTGTGCCTCTAAGGATGTGGGACAATGGCGAGGCCGTGACACGAAGAGAGGAGAATAATTGCATTAAGGGATAGCAACGAACAGTAAGACTAGCCTTTTATTTATTGAGTCTGTCTAAGTAGCAGGCTTCATGCCAGCATCCAGACTCACATAATAAAGCCTCATCCTCCCAGCTGCACTGAGCAGGGCTGCACATCTTTGACAGATGAGGAACCATGGCCTTATGTTGAGAAGCTTGCCCTAGTTTATACTGGCAGGAGGAGCTAAGGCGAAGACAGGAGCCCTAGCCTGTCTGATTTGAAAGCCTTCACTTGAATGCTATCCTGGACTGCAAGAGCCCTTTCTTTATCTGGCTAGGCTCTGTGTGTGTGTGTGTGTGTGTGTGTGTGTGTGTGTGTGTGTGTGTGTGGTGTGCATGCATGTATATACATGTGCCACTCTTGTACAGACATAGACACTTTTATGATGAAGAAAGCATTTTGGCATAATCCCACAACTCCTTACAAAGCCCAGAACTTTATGTTTACATTAAGGAAAAAGAAGTAAGAGTCAAAACCTGGGATAGAAATTGGAAAGCCGGTCCCTATCTCGGTTCTGTTTGTGCATTTGCAATGCATCGTTAAACCTCTGAATTCTTGGCTCATCTCTGTACAATAACAGTTCAATTACCCATGTTAATGGAGGGAGGCCGGATGTGAAGAACTCTAAAGAGCCAGTAATCTAAGGAGTATTTCAGTAGCTGTTTGCAATTTGTATGTGGCTCGTTTGGGATAGATTTATTTTCCTAAATCTGTTTGCTTAGTCATCCAAGAATGGCAATGGATTGGCCTGTCCCCCTAGCAAAGATCAAAGTGGATTATCCATTGGGGAATACTCTACAGTTAATTCTAGAGGAAAAGCTTTTAAATTCATTGACAAGCATAGCCTCAAACATGCTGACACCTTTTTCTTTTTTTCTCTGAATTCATTTAGAACCTACGCTGTCAGGAGGATAAGAGATGCCTTCAGAGAAAATAAAAATGTAAAAGATCCGGTAGAAATTCAAACCCTAGTGAATAAAGCCAAAAGAGACCTTGGGATAATCCGTCGACAGGTAAGATGGTTCGGTGATACACTGTTTTTCATTAGGAGCCTTCAGCTCTGACATTTCTGCCTTGATTGGACATCACTGCTTTGCTGTTTATAACTTATACCACAGGATCATGAATCTTTTTACCTTTCTCTAATATAAATGTAGAAAGATGAATTATCGTACAGAATTCAAGGACAATGTGAAGGAGAATATCACCTTCCCAGAATTTCCTGGGACTGCATCCTTCTAGGAAGGTGAGCTTTCATAGCTTGCTCAATGTTGATGCTTTAAGTGTGAAAAACTTCACATCTTTGTAAAGTGTCCTACACGTGTATGTAGACGTACGTCACGGAATGAATATACCCTCCTAGCATTTTCCATCATAATGCGGGATGGGTGGAATGGGTGATGAGCCTCAATTGCGTTACACACATAAGATGTTTGCGGTGCAGATTTACGAATCTGCTGACCCTATAAGGACCCTTCCAAGGTTTGAAAAGTTTGGTTATTTTCCATTCTGTATCAGTGCCAGGGCTCACCTTGAGTTGGCTGGCTTTTGTCATTTATAAGTTAAGTGGAGCATCCATGCAGCTGGTCTCCTGGGTGGTATGATGTCTGATTCTGCAGGAATAATTAGCATATCAAAGGCTAAAGTAGTCCTCTATCAATTAGTTTTCTCACCCTGTAAGAAAATTACCCCTTTCACAGCTTTCCTCTGGTTTAGCAACAGGCGCAGCATAAGCTCCATTCCTACTTTCATTTCTTTTTTTTCTTTTACTTGCAGTAATTTGTTTACAAAGGGGAAACCCCTATGTTGTATCTTTGACATCCTCAGGGTGATCCCTGCCTGGCTGGCATTCCCTTGGTCTTCACCTGACCCTTCTTCATGCTTGACTCTAAACAGAACTCAAACAAAAAGCAGTATTAACAGCTGCATTGTGTATTTCACGTAAAGAATATCTGAGTCTATTGTGAGCTTCCTGAAACACTGCCTTCCACAGGAACTTTTCAGACTCTGACAATCCTGCTGGAGGTCTGCAGTTATCTAGCAGTGGGATAAGCACTGCATTCAAGGAGGGCCAGGAAGTGATCATTAGTGAAAGAGAATAGGGAAGTTCCAAGACGAGGTGCTGTGCTGCACATTTGCCTGTACTAAAAAGTGGCAGATAAATAAATTGCCATTTGGAAAACTCTAGAACACTAGCATTTTCCAGTCACCAGCAGCTACGATTCCATGAGATCTTCAAAATTTAGAAAGACCTGAATCCATATTGTACGGAAACTGGGATATATTCAATTCTGTGGATTTTTCTCTGTGTAGAAATTGGCAAGCATTTTCAAAACAGGCTGATTTTACCTTTCCTATAAAAACATTCAGAATATCAAGTGCTTAGAAAGTAATCTGTGCCACTATTTCTTGGGTGAGCTCGTAATGGTCTGTGTCACTTCTCGGTTTGAAGTGCTCAAACTCCCCTCTGAAATGAAGGCCAGCGCTGAGGGCTGGCTGAGGGGTAGGGCACTTACCTGGCTTCCCTTCCTGCCTCGCCACACATACTCAAAAGATCTCTGTTGGCCCTGAAACCTTGCTGCAAACCAAGCCCAGCATCCCTGGAGCAAGTGCACAGCAAGCAGGGTGAGGGTGCCCTCCCCAGGACAGCTGGACAACTGCAGCCTCCTGGTGGGCTCTGGCTGCCTCCTTCACAGGCCAGGGCTTCACAGTACCCGGTGCAACAGCGTGTGATCCCCTCCAGAGAGCCTGGCAGGTGTGTGCAGCCTCCTGCAACCGAGAGCTGCTTAGTCACTTACACCTCAGCAGCTTCCCTTTTGCATCAAGCCTTCCTGGATCCAAACAGTGTTGACTGCAGAGCGGGAGGTGTGGCAGACTCCCAGAAAGTCCTCGCTAAAGCCAGGGTAAGTTAACATTGGAGCAGCGGCCTAGCCGAGTAGAGAGACCGTGCCCTTTCACACTGTCCTCTGCGCCAGCCACTGGTTTTGCCCTCTCACCTGCCTTCCTGTGTCTTCTGCACTGTGCTGTGCTCACCCACAGCCTGAGGGGTCTTTAGGAAAAGGATGAACAAGGTCCGGTCGCTCCCTGTTGAGCTCCCTCCAGCGTGCTTCCTGGCTAGTAAAATCTGAAGTCTTTCTGTTGTTAGCTAAGACAGTGTTGCCTATAGCTGGACGCTCAGTGTTTGTTGACTGAGTGAAGGAGTACAGACTTCGTACCAAGATGGAAACCTCACTGAAGAGTTCCGTGCCACCGGAATCTAGACATTTCGTAGCCACCCAGAGCTTCTCTCCTGAGGACTGAACCGTGAAAGGAATTTCTGTCCTCTTCCTGAGCTGTTCTGTCCTTCATATCAAGGACTTCATATCAAGTCCTTACCCCAGAGCATTTGGACCCAGGCCCTACCCCCAGACATGCACCTGTCACAGCTGCACATCCCCATAGACAGAAAACCCACAGCTGCTGTCCCAGCTGCGGCATACGCTCATTTCCACCCTCAGTGCAGTGACCTGTATCCTAGCTTTCTGGTCTCCTCAGTCCCTTCAGGCATCTGTGCTGCTATGAGGCCAGCACAAGCCTGGTGAGATTTTGCACAGTTTTTAAAAAAGCTTCTGAACAAAACTGTTTGCCTGGGTAGAAAAACTGTAAAGGAAAATAGATGCCTTGACCACGTCTGAAGAATAAACTCAGAAGTTCAGGGACATGCTTAGTAGAAACTGGAAGATAACAGTACTCTTACGTCATCCTGCTGTTTGTTCCCAACGTGCTTAAAGACCTCATCAGCCTGACTCAGCCTCTCCTCCGAGGTCATTCATTCTTCCTTTGTGGCCCTAATGTGCAAGGTGCTAAGGCATGGACCACCCTGAGGGCTTCAAGATAGCATCAGGACTTCCAGTTGGCCTTCACAGAGCTTCTCAGGATTAATCTCATTTCTAGGAGTGGCAAGTTGTTTTGCTTCCACCTCCTTTTGTTCTTTCTACACGATTATGGCCAAACATGGGCCAGTTCTTTGCTTGCACTAGCTCTGTCCCAGAAAGTACGGTCTGCTCTGTCCCAGAAAGTACGGTCTGCTCTGTCAGTCTCGGGTCTCTTTCCAGCCGCTGTACATCCATTCTGCCGTACCCCAGAACTAGGAGAGACATTCTACTTTCTCAAACCCTGGCTTTATTTCCCTAAAAACAGCTCTGGGCAGACAAGCTGACCCTTCAGCTCTCAGGAGAGCCTTCCATCTGCTGCGACCTCCACTGAACCCCGCCTCCCTGTCTGCTCTGCAGGTGGTGTCAGAAAGGTTGCAGAAGACTTTCGGTGGGCGGCCAGATGGAGCCAGGCAGGACGGGCAGGACTGAGGCTATGTGTACCACTGGCTGAATAGCTCGCCGACAACCTAGACAGCCACTAAACACTCGGGGCGTTTCTGCCTCACGCCAGAAACGGGAGTCTTGGGTTTTTCACATCAGAAAGATGAGCAAGAAAGCGAGATTTACTTTTTTCTTTCCTTTCTCTCCGCTCACCCAAGGGAATTCTTTCTGATTCCTGTTTGTAAGGCATTAGTTAAAATCCCTACCAGTTAATCACCCCCGTTGACTATAGCATGGCAGATTTGTATGGCCCCCCAGTGCTGGGGACGGACCCAGGGCTTGGCATGCTAGGCAAGTGCCCTGCCACTTGGCTGCACCTCCAGGCAGCTCTTTGGTTCTTAAACAGCCACAGCACACCTTGTTTTGTGTCACGGCTTCTTGCACACTGGCACCTTGCTCCCACAGAGGCCTTCTAAACATGTGCAGCCCTCGGTAGCCTTCCCCCTGTGTAGCTCATAGAGATTTTGTGTTTGTGAAAAATTCTTCTTTCAGAGAAACACTGGAAAATGTCAAGATGAAGGATCAAAATACAATCTCAGACCTCCAGCCCACACAGGACAGGTTAAAGAGACACACATGGTAGAAATTAGAAATCATATGACTGAAATTTCTGAAACAATAACAACTGAAGCAAAAAAGCAACTTAGTTCTTGTATTGTTTGGTCAATTTTCCATGCCTATGTGTGATAGTCTGGATAGCTTATTTTGAAGATAACCAGAGGTATTATGGTAGCCATTGTTAATTTCCTGTTACCTTGCTTTGAAGTCCTATATCATTTTCATTGTTTTGTTTTGTTTGATTTTGTACATCTGAAAGTATGGGCAGCTACTTTTAAGAAAACAAGATATATTATGGTAGCCATTGTAGATTTCCTATCTTGTTTTAAAGTCCTGCATCACTTTCAAAAATAAAAATAAAAAGAAGAAAAATTCTTCCAAAGCATTCTGGGGAGGAAAACTGTAATCTTAGTTCTCTGGCATAATCATCCTGTGTTTGTGGGGAGAAAAACAAAAGAGCTTTGGAACTGGGAATGCAGCAGTAGGCTAGGCACCTTACTGAGATGTCTGTATTGGTGAGTCCCTCGAATGAGTGAATTGATATCATTTCAGGAATATTCAGATAAATCCTGGATACATAGTGATTCTTGTTTTGAAACCTGATGAAAACTAATACATCTTGCAAAGCATGGCTTACAGCTTCGTGGTTTCCGATGGGTCACTGCAATGGAGTGATTGCTCCATTCTTCTAGACTGTTGTGTTGCAGCAAACTCAGGGAACCAAAGTTGTTTAGAGAACACAAGGCTGTACTTCATAGACCTTTGCCACAGTGTGGGTGGCCAGGTGAATCCATGGGCTCTAAGAGAAAAACTGCTATTTTGTATGAAGAGGCTCCCAGCTTCTGACAGAGGTAGGCTACTGGGTTTAACACTGAATTTTCATTCAGGTAACCTTTGATTACTCTACCAAGCACAAGAAGCCACTAAAATATGCATTGATAGAAGTAAAGATTACATCCAACAACACAAAGTCTTCCTTTCACACACATGTGGATAAAGATATTATTGTGTAGGAAGAAATGCACAAGATACGTCCTAGTCTCAATAACGTCAGGGTTCAGGAGGACAGGCCTTGCCATGAGCTTTTCAGTGGTCACTAT